TGGGGTTGTTGCTGGCTATGCTCCAAGATGGCAATGCTGTGCCTTGTTAGTTGGTAGGAGACCTCTACTCTGTATCTCTCCTCTTTCTATTTTCCTTCAGTTTCTTCTTCTGTTTGGTGTTTGATCAAGTTCTTCATCCTTTCATTTGATACTGAGGGTTCCAGGATTAATGTTTGTGTCTGTTTTGTTTAGTTTTTCGGGTCTTCACTGCAGAGGGACAGCTTAATGTGTTTGTCTAGGGCACTGTGCTGGCTCTACCTTCTGACTTTTCTTATATTCCGTCTGTGAAGGAATCTGTTTCTAGTGTAGTAAAAATCAGTTGCATGCAAAATAGCATATTTATATTTTATTTATTTGAATTTTTCTATGTAGGATTACTTATTGGGGGCACTTTGTGAGGGTTCATTGTAGAGAATATACTTTTTGAGTATGAATCTCAGAAGGACAGTCATCTATTTGAAAAATGAGTATATTGCGATATTCAGATATTAAAGTTGTATCTTAAGTTGATGGATTGAGATATGTCATATTATATTAAGTATCACCTGTACCTCACAAATTCAGAGGGAATATAAAGAAAGGCATCTATTCGGATCTTAGTAAAGCTTCTTGGGCCTGTTGCTGGCCTTCTTTAGCTTCTGTTATCCTCTAGGCTTCCAAAACTTCTCGGGTTGTTGTGATGAAGGCCCTTTGAGTACTCAGTAGTCATCTTTCCATGTCTCTGATTTGTACCTCTGTACCCTGTCCTTGAAGCTAAAGTGACCTGTTGCATGTACAATGTGTGTGTCAACCTAGGTATGTGCTTCCAAAACAATCAGCATATGAGCTTTCACCAGATTTTGTTTTCTTAAAAAATTTCTCTTTTAATTTTTATTGTGCTTTAAATGAAAGTTTACAGTTCAAGTTAGTTTCTCATACAAAACTTTATATACACACTGCTATGTGACCCTAGTTGCACTCCTCCTAGTGTGATGGCACACTCTTCCTTTCCACCTGGGTTTCCCGTGTCCATTCAACCAGCTCCTGTCCCTCTCTACCTTCTCATCTCACCTCTGGACAGGAGCTGCCCATTTAGTCTCATATATCTACTTGAGCTAAGAACCGCACTCTTCACAAGGATCATTTTATGTCCCATAGTCCAGTCTGATCTTTGTCTGAAGAGTTGGCCTCAGGAATGGTTTTAGTTCTGGGCTAACAGAGAGTCTGGGGGCCATGCCTTCCAGGGTCCCTCCAGTCTCCATCAGACCATTAAGTCTGGTCTTTTTATTAGAATTTGAGTTTTGCACCCCACTTTTCTCCTGCTCCATCAGGGACTCTCTGTTGTGTTCCCTGTCGGGGCAGTCATTGGCGGTAGCCAGGCACCATCTAGTTCTTCTGGTCTCAGGCTGATGGACTCTCTGGTTTATGTGGCCCTTTTGTCTCTTGGGCTTATATTTTCTTTGTATCTTTGGTGTTCTTCATTCTCGTTTGCTCCATGTGAGTTGGGACCAGTTGATGCATCTTAGATGGCTGCTCGCTAGCTTTTAAGACCCCAGACGCCACTCACCAAAGTGGGATGCAGAGTATTTTCTTAATAAACTTTGTTATGCCAGTTGACCTAGATGTCCCCTGAAAGCATGATCCCCAGACCCCTGCCCCTGCTACTCTGTCCCTTGAAGTGTTTGGTTGTATTCAGGAAACTTCTTAGCTTTTGGTTTAGTCCAGTTGTGCTGACTTCCCCTGTAGTGTGTG